ATCTGCATGGAGTCCGACTGAATTGATGTGTAATAACTGACAGTAGCCTTGACATTCATGGATAGTTGTTCATAGTGCCTACCTGCACAGCTGCCGACTGCAGTTCACACGACACAAAGGATGAAATTTGCCAAAAACTGTCAACTTTGCTACATAGAGCGAATTGTCTATATATTAGGTCAAGTTGCCACACTTCACAGTAATACTCAAAGAACAGATGGTCATTCATCTAATGAATGACGTAATCCACCACACCCAAACGCACTATGCGTCGCATTTCAGTGGTCTGGAGCACAGTGCACTGGTGACCAGTGCGCTGGGCGTTGAAAAAGAATTAGGATACGTTGGTCGTGATATAAATGGTGCAATGTAACAAAAGTTAAGCGAACCTTGAGGATTTGGTAAGTCACATACGGAGGATGATTCCACCACCGAGTCGTTCGGCTGGGATTCCGAAATAGCTAGTTACGTTTTGTCCAGCTTAGCTGAGCTTGTGCATCGAAGTCATCTGCTACGAAAATCACATCAGAACATTTGGCTCACAGTAGGAGGCCATACATAGAGGCTGGACTCATTCTTAATTTCACGAAGGCTGTAGAGATTACAAAGTGCTAACAGCGAGTTACACCATACTGTTATTACTCAGTGCACCTGTTTGTCAAACAGCGTACTTTCTGCTTTAGGACTTTGCATCATATGGAAATCTTAAAGACCATCAAATCTCTAGGAACTTGTAAGATGAAATATTACCGTTTGAAGCGAATTGAATTAACTACAGCTGGGTCCTGTATGGCTGTCAGACAAATACAGCAAACATTCACGACCCGAAATCTCCGTTTCTGGAAGCGAAGCTTGTTGTTCGATTTGAAAGTGTGGATACTGGAAACAGTGATGTGTATCTAGCGCAGTCCATAAGACAAATGGTGCTGTTCCGTGACCTCGAATCGTTATTAAGAACGATTAAGATGCAAATATTTAAATATAATGTAAGAGTATTGACTAAGAAATGCTAAGATGTTTAAGGAGGCAAATATGAAGAAGGTTGGTGAGTATAAGAAAGAATGTGAGTGCTGACAGAGACGTGAGCTGACACTTCATGACTGCCCACACGGTGGAAGAATACTTTTTCTTGAGGTACTGGAAAAGGTTATGTAAGTAATGGCAGCACGTGACCACAGAGCCCAAATGACATATGCTTCGGGCCAATCAAACACAACTGTTTGGGAAGTCAGAAGCATAAGTCAGTTTCGAATGCAACTACGAACCCATACAACTGCAACTGAATGACTTCAGAGTAGGGAAGAATTTGCTCTCTTTTGGATGGACACTTTCTAACCTCCTCTTCGTATAGAGAAGATAGCATCAGCATTTTACGGTTGGTCAACCACGGGAAACTCCTTACTCTTGAGACACCCTTCCAGCCAGTAGTAGGAATTCGCCCTCAGATCCCTATCATAGCATTATATATCACACTATGATGCTTTAAGTATCACCCCTACACAACAAACCATTTAAACATGGTAGTACCAGGAGGAGCAAACGTTGTCATCATAGCTCGGTGGGCGACTGAAAGCCCTACCACCATATCAAGATAGCAGCTATTGGTCGAGATCATGTCAACTATGCAAAATCAAGCAATAATCCACAGTTTGAGTTTGAAACAGTTAGTTCCTATGATAAATTCCCAAAACATGATACGCAAACGAAGATTATATGAAACATGTGATCTAATATTATTATTATTTATCCCTTGGGTTCCTGGTGGAACATAGGCCTTCACTAACATGTCTCCAGTGCACTCTGTTCTCTGAAATCTTTCAACCTAGCCCCACCACTGCCCACAACCTCTCATTTCCTCCTCGCACGATCTCCTCCATGTCACCCTCAGCTGGGACAGCCAATTCATCGCTTCCCATCGGGGTCCCACTAAAGGGTCTGACGCGTGATGTCCCCAGTCGGTCTTCTCAGTGTATGCCCAATCCATCCCCACTTCCTTCCAGTGCATATCTGTTCTGCGATAGCTTCTTGGTCAGTTCGTTGCCAATAGGAGTGAGTTCCTTGTTGCTTATTCTTATTATTCCGGCCATCGGAGCTTCAGTAACGAGCCAGTGTAGGCAGTTGTTGATGAATGTCTGTAGTTTGTTGGAAATCCCTTTCGTAACGCCCCAAGTCTCTCAACCATACAGAAACACTGACTCAACATTGGTGTTGAAAATCCGGATCTTGTTCCACATGCTGAGTTGATTGGAGTAGATCTCCACACTGATTTCAGGCTAATCAACGCCTGTCTTGTTGTCTTTCCGATCCTGGCTGGCTTTGACGTCCTCGTCTGTGCCACCACCTGTAGTTGAAACAGTGCTGTCTAGATAAGTGTATGTGAAAGAGGCTGCTTCCTTTAAGTTTCTCCCGTTGATGGTGATTGGAGTTTGTTGTTGTTGTTGTTAGTGGTGGTGGTGGTAGTGGTGTTGGTTGGGTATCTTCATCACCTCTATCATCGTTCTCTACATTCACTTGAAGTCCCGTCTTCGCTGCCCCACCTCTTCTCTCAATTTGTTGGTTTTCGCCTGTAGATCTTCGAGTTTGTGTGACACTAGACAATAAGTCATCGGCGAAATCCAAATCTTCTAGGATCTTTTCCCCGGTCCAGCGTATCCCCCTCCTCCCGCTCCTCACTGATTGCTGCATGATCCAGTCCAGTCGACCACAATCAGGAATAAATATCATGGGTGATATAGTAGACAGCCTTGTCTTACTCCTATCTTCACTTCAAAGGCATCACTGAGCTTCCCACTGTGAATTACTTGGCATGTGGCGTCTTCATATAGTTGTTGAATCAGATTGATAAAAGTTTGTGGTATTCCGTAGTACTGAAGCAACTGCCTGCCAAATTACTTCTCGGTCAACGCTGTCGAAGGCCTTTTCAAAGTCGATGAAGTTGAGGTATATATCCAGTTGACTGGCATTCTATACTCTGTTCTATGATGATGCGAAGCGTTGCAGTTTGGTCCGCACATAATTTGTAATTCCTGAATGCAGCCAGTTCCGGTCGTAGTTTTGAATCCAGCTCATCCTTTAGTCTCTTCAGGATGATGCGGCTTAATATTTTGCTTGCTTTGGGTGGACAGCAGCATGATTCTGAACCAGTTCTTACAAAGGCTTAGGTCGCCGTTCTTCGGGAGTTTGACAAGGTAGCCCTTCTTCCAATCGCCAGGTACTTTTATATGATCTATTAGCGTTAAACATTTCTATCCGAACACACCAGCTCCCCAGTTAGTTATGTGAAGGTCACTTAAGTAAGTCGGCAAGTGTAAGAATAAGGATAATGGAGTCAGATTGAAAGTACAAATATTTGAATAGCACCACTCTTCGCATGAAAATTGAAATAAATACTACAAAGTTAGCTTCGAAGTTTACAATAAGAGTGGTACGGTTCGAAATGTTTTGGTTTTCGTTTGCTTTTATCATACTTCATACTTGCATGTTTCTGCCAGACTTGATTGACCCTTGTTGAATAATTGATGTTACAAGTTCAAATGTAACTAGATTGGTCGAAATCTATACAGCTGATATATCACATGTTTCACAGTCCAAATAAACTATTTCTACAGATTCTACAAACACAATATCAGGAATCTGCTTTCATATTGCGATTCCTTATTCGACCTTATATATTCTTTAATATTGCGGGTTAAACTATAAGTGTTTTATTATAGATAAACTTTAGTTCTAAAATAATAAAAACAATCATTTCCCCACATGACTCAGACCAAAAGTCGGAGCCTAACGAATGGTGCCACCACCTCTTTGTCTAGTCACCCTAAACCGTATTCCAACTTCCCCCAGCATGCCACGTCGAGGTAGACGGTGGCTCGGCATGCACATGTCTAAGCCATCTTAGTTGACTAAGGTTTACAACCTCATCAATCGACTTGCCTAGTACTATTCACCTGACCTCAACATGGCTCACAAAGTCGTTCCAATATATACGAGGAGTGTTACGAAAACATCACTTATCAAAAGCAGGTAACTGCTTCATATCTTCTACTTACCACAGTTGTGTCTCAGCTGCATGACTGGACAGGACGAACTGGAGTGCAGCATACTTAGTTGGATATCTCACCTGTCGAAGCCACAGATGACGCAAGTTGACAGTTTACAAGTGGACCTTCTGTATCCGAGCTAAGATTTCGTCAGAAACCAACTCGTTCGCGCTGATGCAACTCCCCATTCAAGTCAAATGGTCGACCCATTCCACCACTCCACTCCCTATGATTAAAACGAGAGTGGTTGCACACCAGTCCTGGATTGTCATCTTACACTTCACAAGTGCCAGTGAGACAGATGCAAAATATAATCATACTTCTGCTCAACACGTCTAGAAAGCCCTTCATTTTGTCAGCGTCCTCACCTAGCAGGACAATATAGTCTGCATACTCCAAATCAACCAGATTCCCACTCTCGAGGGAGTAGATCAATCCCTGTGAAGTCAGATGTTACCTTATGTCGCGTCCAATGGTACGTCTACAACAAAGTTAATTTGTAACGATGACAGTGGACATCCCTGACGGACACGCCTAGTTGTTGTCAATTCTGAAGACGACTCTCGATAAGCCTTGAGATGGATGCGTGATTTCGAGTAGAGTTTTGTTGAGGACTATACACCTTCTCGGTACTCCCTTCATAGTCAAACACTGCCACAACACTTCACGATCGACAGCGTCGAACATCGCCTTCAGGTCAAGAAATATATGAAGTGCAGTCAAACAACGTTGAAAGCTGAGAGCACAGACTAATGACACTCAGGCAGATTTATACCAAACGAACAATAAAATAAAAACTTGCTACTTTGAAAACAAAATTTATTATCTGGGGAACTGGTGACATGAAGCGAAACAATAACAGAGTACATTATACAAAAATAAGTTGAAGGTATATCAATCAAATGAATGCAGTGTGACCCTTCATTATTAAATGCAACTCAACAAAGAATTTTGATAATTTCAAACCATTACTTGAGAATTTGAGGAATCCTAAAAGAGAAAAAGGGGTGTGAACTAACGACGTTTAGGAAACAATAGACTAATATGTAGCATAACATAAAAATCTGGTAATAATAATAATAATAATAATAATAATAATAATAATAATAATAATAATGACAATATAGTATATACGAATGACTCACTGTGATTTCAATAATCTCTTCCTCTAGACAAGCCTGAGATACAAAATTTACTGAATGGAAATTGGAATCACTTTGCAGAAGTGTTGAAGTCTGTGGGGGATATGTTTTCCTAGTATCAGTATTATTTAACTCATTGGAAGATATCAAAGTGGTGAACTGAACACGTCGTTTTTCTTTAGGTGCACAAACAAGGATATCAACAACTGCAGGATTATTGACCGAGCTGGAATAAGATAAATACGTCGTCATAATATTTTCAAAGCATTAATCATTTATTCATATACCAGGTTACTACCCGAAGGTATTTTCAAAGTGAATGGTTTTTATAATTCCTAAGTAATCATTATGACCAGTTTTTTTTCCATCAGATACACTTGTTGACAAAATTACAGCAGAGGCATGGAAAGTAATAGGTACGAGGTTGGTCACATTACAGTATTCATGACTCTAGTAAGAATATTTCAAGTTGTTATTCATCGAAGACTGACATCAGTTGGAGGAACAAAGGAAACCTGGGAGCACTGGACAGCTGTTTCGTCCTAGTACGGGACTCCTCAGCAGTGCGCACCCACGACCCCACCAGCAGGGATCGAACCCGCGACCTTCACGTTCCGCGACCAGCGCGTTACCATTGAGCCACTGGGTCAGAATCCAATGCTCCGTATTTCCAACTTCTGTTAGCTCACGATATAGCGCGAAATATTTGAAATATTTCCAAATCTCCACAACCCCCTCAAAATCTAGTAAGAATATCTGATGAGACAGAGCAAAAACCTTTCTCTGTTCCACCACATAAATGTAAAACTTCGTCCTAGGAAGATAATATTACAGAACTATAATTAACCCATCATTAATGTCTCCTAATAACTTTTGTCACATGTGGTAAAGCCATGGAGTGAACAGTAGACAATGAATAGATGAAGCATGCACAATACACTGAAGTGATCAAAATAAAGCTTAGTAAGAAATTATCAAGTTCTCAGTAACTAGATTTGGTCGTGTAGCAGCACCTGTAATTGTAGCATTGATGCAGGGTTTGAATCTGAAATATTATTTCACTTGAGGTTATAAACACGCCTTGTCGACGGGTCCTAACAAGGATGTAACTTAAGTCTACGGATTCCAGTTGATTATTTGTAATCATCCAACACCAAACTACAAGTTAACTAGCTACAGTTTGAAAGGCATTAGAAATATCTTATTAAATCAGTGCAGTGTAGATACTAGCTAATCGTCTAGTATTGTTAACTACATCTATTCATATTACCATGCTTTTCTCCCAGTTTATTTTTATTGTCAATTTGTCATCTTTTTATCTGTTGAAACGAACAGAACGAAACTCACTCAACCACCTTGTGCACTTCTGTGCAGTAGGCAATGAGCCACTCCTATTGTATGAAGCCCAGTGATACTACATGTCTGTTTAAACCTCGGTAGGTGGAGCGGGGCTCAGACGCGTTACTCAATGGTTGACAGTCACCTCCCTAAACCCCTGAGTCATATTTTCACTTTATCTGCTGATAGTTATAGCAATTAGAATTCTGGTAAACTGAAGTAAATATGGAATTATTTACTGTGCCTGTGTTATTTAGCTTCAACGTATTCACACAGATGACTGTTGATCTCAATGAAAAACATTCACCAGGCTACTGGGAAATTCTGATATATAGTACCAAATTTCAATAAGTAAATACATAGTACCACAAATAAAAAATCCTAATTCTTAGTTATTTAACATAAAAAAACATGCCATTTAGCAATAATTTTGCTACACATCAAAAGATTTAAACGGATATGAAACGGTCAGAAAATCTTCTTTCTCTGTGTCACACCTTTAAGAAAGGCAAGGAAGTCGTTGATACATTTTAAGTTTCACGCTTCTTCAAATTCATAGAAAATATGGAATAAGTCGTGAATTAGAAAATGACTTAATTGATATAAACATTTTTCGCTATCAATCAGTAAAGGTAATGTTAGGTGCTTTGTCAGGATACAAGTTGAGCTCAAATAGCGTTAGGCTTAATTACGATAATCATTCTAAGAGTGACTTATTTTGCTTCAGAAGCTCAATTATTCAAGGGTAAGGATATCAAAAGCAATCAGACAAATTAGCAAGCTTACTTTGTTTCTGACGTCCTAGTCTCTGTTGTAGATTTATTCAGGTCACACACTTGTGTCACTGAGAGATCAACCTTAGGGGAATCATCTTTATCTTTCGAAACACTAGCCAATGTATAATCTGATTTAATCAATTTCATTTTAGCATTGTTACAGTGGGATTTATTTGTTTCAATAACAGCCGTCTCCATTACAATAGGCTGTGGATTAGGTGCCCCAAGCGTACCTCGATAAAATGCACCAAGTTCACCATGAGCGAAATGAATAAGAGAACAGTAACCATCAGTAGAACAGATTACAACTAGATGTCCATCTTTCGACCATGTTGCATCATTCAGAGCCTGGTAATGTAACTGAGAAACCTGAAATACAAAATACTCATGAATCTCAAGATTTTGAAGTAGATGACTAGTTACATTACAATTCAAAAAAATGATATTTAAGTCAATCTATGTAAACAAATAATTCCGTCAATCTTTAGGTGTTAAGGGATCTATAGCTGCAAAATCAACTTAGTATATTACCAGAAAGCCATTCGATAAGGCAGTTTATGTGTTTATTTACCCATATTTTGGTAGTCAAACAATACAATTTTCTATGGGTGCTCCTGACAGCATAGTTGACCTTTACAAGTGTGAAGATGATACGTTAGCAATCAAACTTGTTGCCTTTAGGTTCTAAAGACTGATACAAATTGATGAATAGGTAGTTTCTCTCAGAGCACTTTCGACACAAATTATCGTTAATGACCAATTTAGCGTCATTTATTAAACAAACAAACCTTTGATAAAAACACCACACTACAATCAGTTACCGAGAAACAAGGTGAATACTAGACTTCCACTCTTTCTGGTTCTGATTACATCGCAGTTTTCTATACTCCTTTATTCATACTGTCGTGAACAAAATCGACATCCCAAACAAGTTGATTATAGAAAGCCAACAACATTCTAGTGTTTTAACTGAAAATCAAACTAAGACAAACTAGCCAGACATAGAAGGACTAGTTGAACCTACAAAACATGATGAAAATCATAACTGAAGATTATGAAAGCTTAGGATATGAATAACCGGGACTTTGTGATTAACCACTTAATGCCTACAAAGGAATTCCTTCAAGACCCTGTAGTATTGTACAACTTGTCTGCTTCATGTATTCGAAAACGAATTATTTTCATGGTAATAACAGTTTTAAATTACATAAGCCTTTTTGATTCAGCTTCTATTATAAAAGCATACCACTCCAAACACTTCGACTAGATTCAGTTAGTAAAGTTAAAGACAGACAACATGGAAGCAGCTGGTTTAAATCTTGATATCGGATACATTTTCCCTTAGCTTCAATCAACATTGTATGCATAAGTTATTTCTTCAAGCATAAATATATTGACTGTTCTTGTCTGGGCACCACCACTAAGACTGTCAGTTCTCCTCAAACATGAATGTGTTAAAGTAGAATATGTACATAAAAGACAACACGGATGAATAATTATGTAAATTTTACATCCTAATCCTCTTTTATAATAACAGATCACACTTGAGGTCTACGCATAATGTTTGCATGAAATAGGAAGCATGAAAAATGTGACAAAATTTACTTTACCTGAGCGAATGGTACAGTCTGTTGGGTATCATAAAATAGAACACTATCCTCTAAAACTAAGCAAAAAAGCCATCGGTAAGCAAGATTAAAAGATTTGAACATTGGTTTCCAGTATTCTGATTTGTAAAATTAGTTTGTCTCAGTTGAAAAGGTTGAGGACAAAAACGAACTGCAACGACTGGTTTAGAACCCGTAGGTAAACTAACTACTGGGCGAGTGAAATTAGAGCGTACAAAAATGTGTGCAGCATGTTGAGGAGCAACTATTGAGATGGTTTCTGCTAGATTATCTGGTTGCTGAGCACCATTAGTTGTAGGTGGTACAGAATTTGGCACCCCGGCAAATTGGGCTTCTTCCAGATTTCCCGAAGGGCAAACAAGAAGTAAACCATCTGGACTAAAAGTTAGGCGACGGAAAAATGACTTCCAAGAATCATCCTGTAAAATGAAAGTTAGAGTAAGGTGAAAAGTGAAATTTTAGTACAATAAGACAGGTTGCCAATACACATTGCTAGTTCAAAGAGCTGTATCTTGATACGCATAACTGGCAGTGAATATAGATTGCTTATGAAGAAGGTTTCATGACTTGAGACCTTACTATGAGAAAAAGCAGTTATGGGGTTAGACCAATATAAATTTGGTTGTCCCGTGTTCACACTCAGAAAATAGGACCAAATACCATTTTAAGAATTTAAAACAAAATTCTCAAAATCTCAACAAGACGAGCGAAAAGGATGAAGTGAAATTTTCATCTAGTGAAAATGCTAGTGAATATATCAGAAAGTTAAGTGAGTGAAAGACAATCATTTGCATTGGACCTCACCAATGTGTATTTACAAGTTTACTTGCTCCTGTGGAGTTGAGTACTTCAGCAATACTATGCGCTCGCGAGCATTACCCAGCTTGGTCGCTGAAGAGAGAGGACAAAATCGTCTTCAGCTTCATCGCTGAATATCAGGTAGACTCTGGACATATGGCTCCTCTGGAAACCCCGTACAAAGTTCTCTACAAAGTTCGACCAAACCATTCAAGAGGGGTGGGGATTAGATACTTTGGTCGAAGCTTTGGTGATTCACAGCTTCAAACCTCAATTGTGTATTCAAAAGAAACGTGTACAAGTACTCTATTTACCATGGTACTATTCAAGGACTCACATCTTGTTTGTTTATTTGTTTGCTTATGTTTTATGGAATATTTATTTATTTATTTATTTATTTTAACTCGTTACTAAATCTTACTGTTCACTGCATTTTATAAAAATTATTAAGATCATGTCTTGGGTCATGTCATTCAGTAAAATCACCTACTGATTAAATCTGACCTTTGAACGAAAACTTGTCTGGAACAATATCTCACCTTACTTATATATTTACGAATGTACAGCTATGGAAATGAGTAATCGAAAAGGTAATCATCTTTTTGAGGGGGTTGTGGAGATTTGGAAATATTTCAAGTTGTTGTTTATTGTTTTTTTAACAACTAAATAGGGATTTTTCGTTGTTTTAAGTAGCTAAAATAATATTTGAGTAGTTTATTTACAAGACAAAGTTAAGCGAGAAACGAGACGTATTTGCAGTATACATTTCAAACAATTTAAACGCACGTCTACTTGCAAAAGCATTCGATATAAAAAGTGGAAACGGATGGAGGTCAGTTCAAACGATATTTGAGGCTAGGTTACTTAAGGTCAAAAAAGTAGTAACAGAAAAAGAAAAAGCCTTCTTTCTCACCAACTTACCTATGATGTTACTAAAGAAACAGTAAAAAGGTTTTAAAGGATGCATTACTCACAGAAACTAGAACCATTACACACTTGGTATTGATCGACAAATGCAACAAGCTTCAACTTTATGTGAATTATTCTTCGGAATATGAAAACTGATTGGAACACCGATAAAGTAAAGTTGAATTCTCTTCATAGGAATTCGATTGGAAGATGCCGTCAAAACGTGGTACATTAAAGTAACAATCTTAGACTACATTTATCAAAGTAATCAATACTCACAAAAAACAACACTTTATCTTTCTTCATTGCTACTTTTCTTTTAAAGTGTTACTGATATATCTGAAGAGGGTATCAAACGGAACAATGCAGATGAACAAACAGAGTTTCGGTTTTGCGATATAGCAGAACAAGGCATACACAAAGAACGACTACTCTCTATATGAAGTGAATAGGACATCAAATCAACTATTCTGACTTATAATATACTTAAAATCACTTTATGCCACATCTTAGGACAAGGAAATAAAAAAAAAGTCAAAGCTAGGTAGTTTATTGATATTAGAAGTAAATACACTTACCTCAAATCACATGGATTTATACACAGGTAATGATAGCATAGAGTTACATACAGACGGATGAGTAATAGAACAAAATTGAACTCAGGCGAATCTAGTTCTAAGTAGTTAGGTCAGTCAAATTTGAGTAACTAATTAGCGTTGCCTTATCCGGCATTTACCACAACTACTGAACAAAAGACAATGAGATTCTTTCTTAGTGTAGCCAGAAAAGATACACTAAAATATAACCATGAATTCACTACCCACATCTTATGTGCGTAGAATATTGTCTGATATATATATATATATATATATATATATATATATATATATATATATATATATATATATATATATATATACCCGTGATCAAACCGAAAATTTGGATCCACTATGTGCAAGATACTTTTGTCATCTTTAAAAATAATGATTTAGAAAACAGTTTGATCAGGAACTTTTTCAACAACACCAAATTCACAATGCAGAAGGAATCGAACGACCAACTCCAATTCCTGGATGTCCTAGTTTGTGAAACCAATGCCGGAAAATTGAAAACTCAAGTATACAGGGAGTCAACACACAATGAACGAACCTCAACGACCCTAACAACAAAACCACAACGCACAAAATTAGTTGCGCACAGACTTGATTCCATAAAGCAACTCCCTACTGTAGTAAAACACGGAGAAAAGAAGAGACTTATTTGATGTCTGTCGTAAGGAAGAACGGCTACCCACGAAACTTTATCAGAAGTTCACCATCAATTTAAAAATCATTCCCAGTAGTCAACAAGCGGGTCATTCATCATCTCACCATAAATAAAGAAAATATCAGAGTTCACGACAACATTACGAATACCACTTGGAATTGATATGACACATAAAACAACAGATTCCCTTCAATCCATATGGGAAATTAAAAATATCGTAACAACTACTGCATTACTGTGTAAATCTAAACTCATTTCACTAAACTCTCAATACAAAATAAATAGCACCTCCCTACCTGGAACAGACGTTGTTTTCCTGCTTTAGAAACATGAGCCAAACAATTTTTGGTTCCTGCTCGATATATTCGACAAGCTCGGTCGCTGCTTAAACTGGCTACATAAAAACCTAGTGGATCCCATGCAACACCTTGAACATAATGTTTGTGATCACGCAAAATTAAGGTTTTGATCCCAGACTGACTGGTATTAGCATTTGGTGCAGATATGTTTTCAGGTCGAGTAGAATTCACATTCTCTACAGTCGCATCACCAACATTCCCCATATCTTCAATTGGTGGTGCAGATGACGGAGATGGAATTAAATCAAGTTGCCAAATAATAATTGAGTGATCAACAGACCCCGAAATAAGTGCACGTTCATCTGGTGACCAACAAATATCGTAGATGTCCTCTAAATGTCGCCTAGTTGAAAAATACAATGAACAAAATAGACCATTTCACGGATTATCACAAAAGGAGTTACAATTCAAAAACTGGCTTGTCAAAATTAACATATTTTCCATTGTTTTCCTCTTAAAAGAGTTAAACGTCTCTTTCTTCAAAATACTAGCAAGTAAGGAGTGAAGTACATTCCTCAACAAACCGAAGAACATGTAGAAAGCATAATTAAATGTACTCACAAATTTCAGATCTCTGATAGACGGTTGTTTTTCAAAACAATTTTGATTATCAATAATTTCGCAGCCATGGAGGCAAGGTACGATACTTATTGAGTAAGTATGCAGACAGCAACTAATGTTATACTGAGAGTTGAAGATAAGACATGAAAACACACTGATATTTAATCATCTTCTCCATCAAAACATGTACAATGCTCGGTAAAAACACGTGAGTCAAACGAGACATAAGTACATCAGTTGGTAAGGTCATGCGGTTTCAGTGATCGAATTTGATGGGGAAATCGCTGAATGCAGCAAACTACTACTTACTCTTGAATAAGATGTTGAGTAGAGTTACAGGGAAATGAGAGAAATCTTAGTATTCTTATGAGGAGACATGGAACTCATCCAAAAACGCTACCAACTGGCGGTCTTATAAAGCAATATGTAGAGAATAAGTGATTCTAAGATAATAAACAAGGTGTGGACTACATCTACCATATGAAGGTAAGGTGGAATTCAAATTTTGAAAACCAAGTGTTCAAACCACTAAGGTTCAAACTATCCGAGCAATGCTGGAAGATTAAGCTGATGGCTGAAATGTGTAGTGGTTCCATACATTACGTGGATGTGGATTAGAGCAGATCACAATACCCCCATATATATATATATATATATATATATATATATATATATATATATATATATATATATATATATATATATATATAATCATCATTTTGCTAAATTTTCAACTGACTTCTATTTTGGTTTTTTTTCCTTTAATTTTCTGTTTGAGCTGCAAATGACAGAACAACTGAACGAGAAAACTATTAGATCAAATTTTACGTTGACCTTGTTAATCTGCACGTTAAATGACTAGGGAAAAGAAATTCATTTATTTAGCTTACAGGTAAATGTGTCACGATTTTTACAACAACTCTAGAAACGTTATAAAGGCCAGTGGCACAGATGGGAAATGTAGTGACTTTAAAAGTCACCTTACCAACTACTACTGACATGACCAAATATCTATATTTTGACTGGATGGGTAGTTTTTTGAAAAATAGAGAAACCCAGTTGGCTATTTCAGCAGTTGTTAGGGTGGCCATTAGAGCCACTCAAAATGTATAACTACACTAAATTAATTATAGTATCGCAAATCCTATTACATTAATGTGACTCATAAACCAGTAAATAAACCTATACAACAGTCCATACAGCGATTTTAATAGTACACCACAACTAATTTGAAGTACACTAGTTGCACCATTAACAAATCAATCAATTTCGTAATTTGACTCACGATACAGATAATTAGGCATTGCATAACCCTGATAAACAAGTCAACGTCTTACCAGTGAAACAGTATCCCTGTAACTGCGATTGGTGGAGAATGAGTAAACAGTAATTAAATGTATCAAAATGTTGCATACACTTAACCCGATGCTAAAATAATTGAATCGAACACAAAAATCTCTTTTTTACTTGATTTCCTGCATTACTGTATTCTGCATATTTTAAATTGAGTGCAACAGTGAAAGTTTTATACTTGGAACAGATAGCATGTGGTACAGTGTGTATACAACACTCGTAATAGTTATGGATATGCGAGACTAGTATGCACACAGTAGAGTGACATGCATTGTATCTGATCCGGTTTAATAAGAAACATATTCAGGGGTAATAATTGTAAACAGTCGTCATAAACACGGTTATAAGAAAATAGACATAAAATAACGCATATTCAGATCAATATGCATGATATAGTTATAAGCATACACTGTCCACCATGACAACTGAGATGCTACTTAAGAATGATACGGGCTCTCCCTGGGTCCTATGCTAGAGGATATCTTCTTGATCAAACTAGAAAACTGTCCACTTAGGGACATAACTGACAAACTAGACTATTATTACCAGTGTATAGATGATACGTTCATCATTTGTAACAATGATTCCAATGATTCATTTGAATACTTCATATGATGTCCAACTAGCTATGAAGTTCTCCAGCGAGGAAGAACATGGGGAAAGTATATCATTCCTAGATGTTCTGCTCACTAGGAAGACCGATCCATATATTAAGAGGAATATTTTTTTTAGAAAGAACACATGGAGTGATCGATATATTCATTTTCATAGCTCCATACCAATTCAGTATCAAAGAAACCTCGTCAAATAAACCTGGTTAACAGAATACGAATAAATGTTATGATGACTGCAATGAAGAATAAGTGGATACACTAAAGACGACATTGCAGCGAAATGGTTGTCCATCAAACTTCATAAGTGATGATAAAGAAGGATACCGTTCCTAAGATACCTATATATCTTAGACTAGGTTTCAAAGGTGACATTGCACCCTGATACCGTAACACGCCAATTGGGTAAACCTGTTGAAAGGACATTCGCTGCAGCCAAACTCTTCAAATACGCCCATATATATATATATATATATATATATATATATATATATATATATATATGAATGTCGAACTAAGGCCATAATCACAAAACCCGATCCAATTGTTTTAACACAAGAGTGGTACAAAGTATAAGGATAAGTGGTAGATTTTGGTCGCTCAACCTTAGACTATTCATTTTGTTGCCGACAAATACCGATCGAATCTTCCTGAAGGTTTAAGCCTTCACATACTAAGCATTGCAGAAATCCTGGTAGTTCATAATTTGAAGTTAGCGCTATACATATGAAATAATTTGATAACTCCCCTTCCATGATATGGTCGTTTATACTTAACTAATTCAGACTATCTCCTAATCTTTAACACCAAGTGCTCTTAAGTAAAATCTGCTCACACGTTTCGTATTGTTACTAGCATCATCAGTAGGTTCTAACAACAATTCTTGACTCACACTTATATCTAATAACATTTGTTTATGTCCTCTTTCGATAAGAAGAATGTTATGGTTGAGTGACCTCAAAGATCACTCCAACAGCTTCCACAGTAACCACTAGGTTTATTAATCGATGAGAAAGCTATCATATCGCTCAAAATAAAAAAACTAAATGGCTAATTCAACAGTTTCCAAGATGGAATTTAGGGTGATTCCTTCCAGTCATCATTTTCATTTGAATGAATTAGTATCGCTTCAGTTTCACAAACCTCTTTTGCACTTATTGAGTTTTCACTCTGTTAACCAAGTCATCTATTCAATTTAATGACAATTCATTATAAGCGTATTTCTTTCTGTTCTTTTTCTCACTCATTTATACATGTATAGTGATTACACAATGGGAATCTAACATATATACATGATTGTGCATTATTAAAAGAAGTGAAACTTCGTAAGAGAAATTTCTTTGGTGAATTGTTAATGAAAATAATATGTCATGAATTGCAACTAACCTCAAACTTCGACAAGGGATCCAAATCTCAGAGTTCAAAGCATCCTCATCTTCTTCATCTTTTAAATTAGATGCATGATCCACTGAAGAGGTGACTGCGTTACTCACCGTTTGATTAGACCATATCACTATGAATAAATCATCCCCAGCAGAGGCAAGATAATCGCCTACAGAAAATTAATTAAAGTAATACAGTACACTATGTGACGCTGCAATTCATAATGCTTCGAAAGTAAAAGTACACAAAAGTAATAACAAAGTACACCGGCAATCACACAGTAGACATATATACGCGTACACGAAGCATAAGCTCAGTCTTGGTACTTCTGAGTCTTGGAATCACCTGTATGGGTGACTATCTTCACCGTCCGTACGCTTCATGCTACCAACCGATAAATTTTTAGCAGCGATTAGATGTCTTATTTCACTATCTTATAATGAGACGTACGAGGCGAAACGGTTAAGCACTTCACTCTTAAGACGTGTCGTTAAGATAAACAATAGAGAATCGTGTAAACATAATTCATGATAGATCACTGGAATCTCAATTCTATATCCTGGGTTGGCCCTGAAGTTGAAAAGGATTGTTGATTCTCATTTTTTCTATGACTAAGGTGATGAAAAAGTAAAAACAAATCCTAAAAAATTACTTGGTAAGAAGCTATCATCAATTTTTGGGACATTTTGTTTAGATCTACAGCGACGATAACGCCGATTAACTCTGTGACGGCATACAGGTTTCACTTGATCATTTTATAGCTGCTGCAGCTTGGGAAACTGATATGAACTTGTTCCTTTTGTAAAGTTGAATGATTTACTGAGAGCTGATGAGTAAGTGACAGGTGAGATCGATCCTTGTAAAACATGAACCAAATCAACAAGCTTAAATCTGCATTACTTGTGATATTGCTACTTTCTTCTTCACGACCATGAGATTCACCCTCTCTCGTTTCAGATGTCTGATAACTCACTGTCATTATTGGTTAGTAACCATCTCGCAGTGACAGAGTACATTTCATTACCACTGTCTTTACTTTACCTTTACTTTATAACACCGACTTTAGAAGCATGAATATGCGTCATTTTAAAAATTAAAAAATCTTTTCAGTTATGTTTCATCTGTCGGTACGCCATGATTCGCCGAAATCAGGTATACACGACGCATAATTCGTCTTCTTATAACACTATCAGATATAGCTGAAAACCGAAGTTAGTGTTAACATTGCTGGACACCAAAGAAAACAAAAGTAGGGATGGTGGATAGTCGCTAGTAGTGGAATGCAGGACGCTCTCGAGTTCAAAACGATTGGTCCTGGGTTGAATTTTTAGAGCGAAAAATGTCACTCACTGTAAGGCAGGTACATCCAACTGACGAGCTTCAAATAGGAAGAAATGTGAGTCTTGGATTCCACTGCTAACCATTATCCATCATTAATAACGAACCGAAATTACTGATAATATCAACGCATCCACGAAAGACACCATTTGCCAGTCAATAACGGGAAATTACAGGCAACAACAAGGAACAAAAATGATCAAAAAAAGCACCAGTCCGAATCTTTCATAGGATATCGGTTTCTTCGAAGATGGAGATGCGTCTTGATAAGTTCATGGCTTGCTGACAATTGCCTGAAAACCATCGAACGTTAATCACAAAAGTTATTATGAACCAAAATTAACTTGAAAAATGTCCTTCTTGTAATAATTATCAGGGTTCGAGTCTTAGTGGGGACAAAGTCAACCACTGAGAGATAGACATATCCAGTTGGTCAGTTCCAAATAGGACGAAATGAGTATCCTGGATTCTACTGCTAGCCACTACATGTCACTAATATCAAATTTGAAGCAATTATTACCTATATTTATGTCATGAGCTTTTAATACGAAAACTCTCCAAATTAACATCTCAATTCCATGTTAAAAAACTTCAAGAAATAAAATTCAATAACAACTTGCTGAACTAAGAACTATATATATTGTGTAAGGGCTGATGCAATTACTTATCTGCCAAAACTTTACAATGCATAAAATAGGATATTAACTCTTATTCTGTTGGTTCGAAGCTTGATGCTTCAGTAGTACTGAACATTGAAAATAACAATTTTGTCCAAACGTATGTATATCAATTGTTTAAAACCACACCCACAGAACTGTACACACATAACCTTGAGACAATTTTTTTTTGAAAATAAACACCTGTACAACTGATCTGTTAAAGTGGCATTGATTATTGTAAAACAAAATCATAAGATAGTGAATTAAAATTCTTAGAAAATGATTATTACTGTTGTTATCACAGAAACTGAATGCCTCATTAATCATCTTTACAATTTGATGCATGTGAAATATAAACCCGCCCTAAATATCATTCGATATCCTTAACTGAATGAAAAGTAAAATATACAATGTCGACTTTGAAAAAAGGTTACCTGAAGGTGACCAACGAACAACATTTACTGGTTTCTCGTGACGTTTTAGTGAAGTTAAATAGACTAAATGCTCTAGTTGTTTAAAGCCGGATTTCTGGGATGTTGGAACTGCAACACCAGAATCTTTCTTAGTTCCTGTTCCATTATTAGACTGAGATTCAGTTTGCTTTGTCGCCGTTGTTGAAGTCGTACACAGCCAATTTAGTTGAACACGCCATAAACGAACAACATTATCACCACCAGCTGTTGCCAATCGTGTCCAATTCAAGTCAGGATCCAAATCGTTAACATTCTTGAAATTAATTTCACTTAAAGGACTTCGACTGCAAACATTACTGTTATTGTTATCAACTAATATATTGGAGCGGTTTTGCAAATCACATGAGTAAATTGGTAGAGTTCATGCCAAGCTATTTCAGGAGTTAGGAAACGCATATTGCGATACTCTCTGAAGTGTACAACAGAAACAACATTAATATTGACGGAAATTAGTAAGTTAAAAAGTCATATTAATGGTTTCCAGGATGAGCTAGTAACTAAGCCGAATAACAGTCAATTGAATAACCGTTGGTATAGCTATAAAGAGAAGAGACTTTCAAAAATGTTCGAAATTATGCATCCGCTCTCCTTAACTTTAATTTAAAGGATGTATATATGTCGCAATTATCATTTCTAGTACAGTAACTGGTTACCGAAGAGTAACTAGTTTCATCCTATCGATTATCTAGCAATGTGGTCACCAAGATAGCAGACTCAGTATCGTTATGCACTGTGACTAATGTTAGCTGATTTCAGGAGCCAAACGGCCAAGATTTCGAGTTATTTAACACTCATCAACAAAGCGCATCTGCAAATCTGAGGGAACTGATGTCTGATCTGAGATTTGAACCCACGTCATCGACTGCTGACTGTCAGAGGTCTTACCACAGAGCTATTGGAATCACGATTGATTTTCTTGTTTAAAATCAGTCATAACAGAACGGATGTATAGGCTCTTTGTCATTGTATATTTTACTAGCATTCAAATGGCCATTGTCTATTCTCATGCAAATTTGTAAACGTTATTATCCACCTCTTCCTTGAATCCTGCTGTGAAGTGTGGCAATTTGGACCTCTGCATGTTTGTATCAGGTTCTACGCTGATTTATTTCTGTCCTGTACGACTGGATTAGATACATCGGTTGACCAACGAAAAGTAACCAATTTCATGTTTTCAATTACTACAGGAGGTAAATCACAATCGAAACAGATCAGTTGTAAGGTCTCTGAGTGCAGGAATGGGTTACACAGATTCGAATATCCGAGGGGATATCATCAGTTCCCTTGAGGTTTGACAAGCATCAAACTAGGTCAAGGGTTTCCTGTCGATTATCTTCATCCACCTAACAATGCAATACGTACTCATAAGTGAGATGGAACGAACTGACTTTTTCAATAGAAATCGAGGTCTGACATTCGTTTCAACGCGAGAACCAACCATCTTAACCACCGTAACACAATGTAACCGACCGGTGTAGCCACACACTGATAACCTCTGCTCTGCGAAGCCAAATGGATTATTCAAATTTCTAGTGAAACAGTATCAATGAGTCAGTCTTTAAACATAAGCAAGAAATAATCTAACAAATAACGATTATGAGTATGATAGCAGTAAAAACTAACAAATGCATTATCCCTTTTAACCATTTAGCGCAACGTCGTGTATAGTTTCTATACACTGCACAAAAATATTAAAGTTTTATAACACAAATCACTAATATATAGAAGAACTAACACCTTTGAAAAAATACAAGCAAACAAATCAACTAATTGGTAAGTTGAACAGATCGATAGATACAGTAAAATAAATTCAAAAGATGAATAGTACTGACGACTGTTCATCTTACATTTAACTTCCATTTTGAATTTCAACAGTTTAGTACGAAAATTATTATAGGTTAGATAAGAGAACAAAAAGTAGTTGGTCATATGACTGAAAATAAACGAGATATACTATCGAACAAAAAGGTAAAACATAGCCATGGAATGTGACCAGCTAGTTAACTGATAAAGATTAGCCGTAAGGCTTTCCTTTTTAGATGATAATCTAAGAGCAGTGTATCTAACTTGAATAAAATTAATTGCTGGTCATAGGAAGGAATATATTACACATATTACAAATAGATAACTAAAGATAACTACTTTCTGTGCTGCAGTATGAGCCAAACTTACTAAGAAGGAGGTTAATATTGCTAACACCGCTGAGTGAGATGAAAATCAAACTTTCGATCTACTTGTAAGACATCTAGTATCTAATATACCAATAATTTAAAGTAACACTGGCCAAATAGCTAGGACAGAAGCGAATTAAGTCCTTAAACCTGTATCAACTGAATCTATTTACTCCGCATTTAGATACAAAACTATGATGATATATAGATACGTTTGAATACGTAATTTGAGACATTGAAAAGAAGGTTACGATATCCTACAGCATTCATCAGTATTTATCTGGAGCACCAAATAATTCGGAAACTGGTGCGATAGCTAAGTAGAACAGTTGACCATTATTGCGTTATGAACTGTGAAATGAATCGCACATTACCCCCTCATCGCAACAAAAGTTCGAGTATATTATTTTTCAGGCTTAAAACTACCATGCCTTAGGAATAAGTTGTACACACTGTATGAATACCAAATTTGAATTAAAATTAGCCTGGTTGTCACTGTTGTAGAGTTCAGCTCTTCGATTTACGAGATTTCTATTGGAAAGGCAAAAATGATGGGTATACTATGGTGAGAGTAGTAATATTCTATAACAGTGACTTTGTAGCAGACAATTAACATGAAAACGTAGACCTAGTCAAATATGCAAATAGTTTTATAAGAGAAAAGATGACTAATGGACATGAGGTTTAAAAAAATGCGAAATAGAAATTTAAAAAGCACAGTAATTTTCAAGAAACAGATATCCACAACAGACATAATAAAGGTGAATACAACTTTCACACAACCTATTACTGAGAGGTACATCTTATGAGAAATATGAATCCGAAACCGTAATCCTAGCAAGTTTCTCAAACTATCACGCTTAATACTTGACGATTACCAGCTCAATACACTGTATACTAGATAGGTCATACCACGGTTGGCAGGTATACGAAAAGTCAACTGAATTAGCTTTACATATATATATATATATATCAGCGTCATATCCTTGGAGACGATTGAAGTACTATCATAAACCGCTTAAGCCTTTCCGTGTGGCTTGTTTTAAATGTGATTACATGCATCCACTACTAATGGATGCTTTTATTACTCCCAAATTGTATAAAACATGGTTTTTGAGAGGCATGGAAAGTAAGACTGTAGTACAAGCGAACATGAAACTCTGCTGTAGAGTAGTTACCTCAACCCTAACACTATAATAAATTTATCAACAGAACGGATGAAGCCGTGAAATTATATGAACACCACATGAGATTATTTTTTTACAGTATACGTGAGAACTTTAGTGCAGTGTGAAACAATACAACAGACTCTATAATAAACACAAACAAAAATGCACACATATCAGACAAACTGAAAATTAAAAATCAAAGCACAATTTTCCGCATTACTAGTATATTGAATGATACTATTGCTTCATAAACAAATATATTTTATCAGAACAGGCCAGTAATATCACTACACAGAGTCGATGTGTCAAACAAAAAAAAATAAGGGATACAACGATGAGACATACTACATAAGAGAAAACAAAACAAAAAGAAATTTCTAGCGGTATGTGACAAGATATCTGCTCATTATGATCATCATTCAAAGGAAGAGCTTTACACGACATACAACTACTGAGTAACATGAGAACAGGTTTCTCACCTACTCTGGCGCTAAAAAGTAGGAAAAAACAAGTAGGAACAACAATGCCAGTGCAGGTGAGCTTATGCAATCCCCCATAATAACAAAATTTTGCATATCATTGTGAAAATTGTACAAACCAAATGGCTCAATCTACTCCGCTTCCTCGAGTGTGAAAGGCAAAGAAATGAAAATGGAAAGGGGGAACAGAGAGAAGCTTCAAGTGAAATCTACTGACAATCTACATAAATGAACCACTAGAAACTGGTCAGACAACAATACCATCAGAGCGGAAGGAAAGGAAAGAAATGAGAAAATGTATTTCACAGACATGAAGATGCATTTGATGAAAACAATAGAAAGTTTAATATACAAAATGTTGATAATTCAGTCAACGAAATAATTAGAAAAGGAAAGTCAAACTAGACACCGAAAACAGGCAGGTACACAGACAGCAGCAGCATAGGTTGGAGGAATGAAAAACTAAAAAGGAGGTGAACTAATTGTCAAACGAGTTGAATACTTTAAGAAGGGTGAATATCAAGAAGACATGGATATAAGGCAAATGAATTCAAGCATTCACATTTGGTTGTATCTAATGTAAATAGCATTTAAGGGTACTTGAATAATGACTGAAAATATGACCAAAATAAATAGTACTTAGAAACGATATACACTTATGAAAGGTGGATCCAAATCACATCCGTAGGATATATTACACTTAGCACATGAAAACAAAGGAATGAAGAAGACAGAAATTTTACAGTGATTAATGAACCAGCAAAGTCAATATGAAATCGTAAACATCTTCATTTTAGTGCAAATGTCAAACTCAACTGGCCAATTTAGTAAAATAAATTTCCAAGCTGTAGACTAAGTTCGACAACTTGGCGGTGTAATGCATCGTGAGTCATCTTCTTCATCTCCATCTTCAAGATCTGATGGTTTCTGGATATCTTTATTGCTAACCGAATAAGCGGAGAGTCGTTTTGCCGATGTAGCATTACGATTAGCATCAGCAGACAAAGATGGCATTGTGTTGTAAAAGAACGTACTTTGTTGTGGGCTAGCAGCAGCTGGATAAATTGGCTTCACAAACGATCACTATTTAAAGACGATGTTGTTGGTGTAGATGGAGAGTTTGAAGTACGAACTTCTGACGTATTTAAATTACCGACTGGAGAGCAGCAACGAACAGAGCAACCGCGTATATTACTTGCATAAGTCGGATTATGCGTTGAATTTGACAGTGATCGGCCGCCTGAGGCATCAGCTGAACAAGAAGAAATAAGTGGTTGACCACATTCTCGACAAACACGTGAACCCGAATGACCAGCCACACTAGCTGCAACCGCAACTGCAAACGCATGACCAGGACCATAAAGCGACGAAGATGCATTCCCAGAAGACGTCCAAGTGCAGAAACAGGAGTTGGGAATGGTGATGAGCAGTCAGAAATGGTTCTAAGGCGGGAGGTACGGCTAGCTTCGTTAAAATGTCTAAGAAGCACAAAATTGAATACATGTTAACGGTAAATGAAATGCATATTTGATGCAAAGGTGAAAAATAAAAGACTAAGTCAATATCTGAAAAACTGAAAAAAAAGTTTTCAATAATAAAATATTTCGTAGTCATATTTTCTAGCCGTGAGTTTATGAAATGCAGTATTAAACTATGAGCCAATAGATGTGATACACATACTTTCGAGCAAGTCGCAACATAATCGGTATGAGTTTCAAAATACATTTGAGGTAGTTAAGTGGAGGCTAAACATTAGGTTGTCCACCAAACTTTATACATAGCTTTGTATATTTTAAACTGCAATTATCTCATTGAAACAACGAAATCTGAGTGTACTAAGGAATCTGAAGGTCTGGAATTGCATGCAGACTGTAACTACTTACCACACATATAACAACGTAAAAGAATATGCTGAATCCTACCTTCTATATTCGACTTCTTATTCGATATAGCACACAGTGACAATATAATTTACTGGATGACAGTTTTCGAATTTCAAGAAATATGTATGTAAACAAATAGAAGGAGTAGTGGTGGGATCGCCAATACCTCTGATCGTAGCAGACATATTTATGGACAGTTGAGAAAAATGGCATTAGGAACTTTCTACCTCACCCCAAAAGTATGATGGCGATATGTTGAAAGCAGAACACATCCAGCTTTTTTGCACACATTAACTCGATAGTAGATCCAATCCAATTCACTTATGAATTAGAAAATGAATAAGGAGAGTTACCTACGTTGGATCAAGAGGAGAAAGATGGGAGCTTGGATACCAGTGTTTATAGGAAACCAACGCATTCAAATAGATACTTGGATTTCACATCATTTCATCCCATACCTGTCAAAGTAGACTTGATTAAATGTCTCAGTGACTGGGTTAGGAGCTTGACTAGTAAGTCAGAAAACCTAAATAAGGAAGTGAAACACCAAAGAGACACTACTTCTTAATAATTACCTTCCGGAATATATTAAAATTTTTATAATGACTGATAAGAGAAGGCGGAGTAATGTTAATGGTGACTGGAATATGCCTAAGAAGGAATTCAAATCCTCTGTAGTGTTGCCGTATAAAGAAGGCATATCGGAAATTTTACGTAGAATTCTGAACAATCCTGGGATTAGGATGACATTTACACAAACAAACTCGTTCAGAGAGAAACTTCGAAGATTAAAAGATCTAGTAGAGATAATTAAGCACAATATCGTCATCTAACAACCTCGCCTGGTTAACTAGTTCAATGGTGACTAGCCGGTCCTAAGCCAGGGTAAAGAGGGAAGGTTGTGCATACGGCTAGCAACCCTACCCCGTAAAACAAATTCAACCGCTAAAGAAACTTCAAAGCACAAACAAAATATAAAAAATCATAACAAAATTATTCCTCGCTGGAATCGGAGAGGCAAAAGGACACCGGTTGGTGAAAGCCTGCCTTCGGGAAGCCAATTGGCCGATCTGTCTTCTCCCCCTCAATGAAAACGAAAGTAAGAATGGAGTGGAGAATGGAATGTCCCCATCATGTTCGAACCTAGCAAGGCTGCCCAGATTGCAAACGAGATGAGAAGGTATCGCATTGAAGTGTTAGAAATTTGCGAAAGCTGATGGAATGGAAGTGAAATCTCCAGACTGTCAACTGAAGAATCAGTAGTCTACTCCGATATTGTCACACAGACGACAACCACGAGCACACTGAGTTATGGAGTGGCTATCATGATGTTCCCAACAGCATCGATGGCTCTCTCTCTCTCTCATGCAGTAGGAACCAATCTCCCCCAGATTCATGATCATGACAGCTAGGTTCAACTCAAAAGGAAGAAAAGTCACAATCATACAATACTACGCTACGCACCTACAAATAATGCAGATCAAGAGAAGAAGGGGAAATTCTACAGACAACTGCAATCAGCACTGGACAAGACCCCATCTCAGTTGGCGACATCAAAATTCTAATGGACAACATGAATGCCAAACTGGGAGCAGACAACACACGAAGAGAACTAACTATGGGTCAAGAAGCGCTACATGAAATGAACGAGAATGGAGAATTGTTTGAAGAATTCTGTGCATCCAACGAATTGGTGGTTGGAGTGGGGCAGTGTGTTCAAATACAAGGATATCCACAAAGCGACATGAATTTCACCAGACACCAGGACACACTACACCAAAAATCAGATCGACTTCATCTCAATCTCAAGAAAGTGGAGACGCAGTCTACTTGACACAAGGTCAAGAAGAGGAGCAGATGTAGGCTCAGACAACTATCTAGTGCAAGGAGCCTAACTTCAAAATCAAGTTGAAAGCCTTCAAGGAAGTTGGTGATAGACCACAGTTCAAGTTCAACACCAACAACAGAAAATGAAGGACGAAATTACAAAGAAAATGTTCGTCAGTCATCAAGACAAAATGGGAGATATCGAGCAACATCCTGAAGAAACCTGTGTGGATGAACACTGGAACTCTTTGAAAGGAAGGAAGGAAGAGAAAACAAGACAAGACAAGACAAGACATGGAATGGATCTCGATGGACACATAAAAGCTGACAGAGGAGAGGAAGATGGTGAAGCAGAAGATGAACCAGTGCAAGGGTGCTCAAAGAGAGGAGGAACTGAGTACAATGAACAAAACACTACACAGGACTAAGAAGTGAAGAATAGTGCAGGAAAAGACATATCATACTCTTACAAAACACTGTCAAGTGAAGCAGAACAGGCAGCAGGTAAGAGAGACCTGACAACACTGTGTCAAATAACCAGGTTACTCACTATCTGGGATGGAAGAGATCAACACAGATGAAACCAATAAAAGATGATGACGGAAAAATAATTACCAAAGAAGAGGAACAAAGGAAACGATGGGCTGGCCACCTCAAACAGCTCTTGGATCGACCACCACCTGCACTTCATCCAGAAATACCACCAGCAACCCAGCCACAGAACTACCAGTGGACACAAATCCTCCAACAAAGGTCGAAGTTCTGAACGCCATAAAACTACTACAATGCAGGAAAGCAGCAGGACCAGATGGAATCCCGTCAGAAGCACTGAGAGCAGACGCAGAGACAACAGTGGACATGCTGACACCACTATTGCAGAAGGTCTGGAAGGAAGGGAAGGTACCTGCCGACTGATTGGAAGAAGGGCTACCTTGTCAAACTCCCGAAGAACGGCGACCTAAGCCTTTGTAAGAACTGGTTCAGAATCATGCTGCTGTCCACCCAAAGCAAGCAAAATATTAAGCCGCATCATCCTGGAGAGACTACAGGATGAGCTGGATTCAAAACTACGACCGGAACTGGCTGCATTCAGGAATTACAAATTATGTGCGGACCAAACTGCAACGCTTCGCATCATCATAGAACAGAGTATAGAATGCCAGTCAACTGGATATATACCTCAACTTCATCGACTTTGAAAAGGCCTTCGACAGCGTTGACCGAGAAGTAATTTGGCAGGCAGTTGCTTCAACACTACGGAATACCACAAACTTTTATCAATCTCATTCAACAACTATATGAAGACGCCACATGCCAAGTAATTCACAGTGGAAGCTCAGTGATGCCTTTGAAGTGAAGATAGGAGTAAGACAAGGCTATCTACTACATCACCCATGACATTTATTCCTGATTGTGGTCGACTGGACTGGATCATGCAGCAATCAGTGAGGAGCGGGAGGAGGGGATACGCTGGACCGGGGAAAAGATCCTAGAAGATTTGGATTTCGCCGATGACTTATTGTCTAGTGTCACACAACTGGAAGATCTACAGGTGAAAACCAACAAATTGAGAGAAGAGGTGGGGCAGCGAGGACGGGACTTCAAGTGAATGTAGAGAACGATGATAGAGGTGATGAAGATACCCAACCAACACCACTACCACCATCACCACCACCACCAACAACAACAACAACAAACTCCAATCACCATCAACGGGAGAAACTTAAAGGAAGCAGCCTCTTTCACATACACTTATCTAGACAGCACTGTTTCAACTACAGGTGGTGGCACAGACGAGGACGTCAAAGCCAGCCAGGATCGGAAAGACAACAAGACAGGCGTTGATTAGCCTGAAATCAGTGTGGAGATCTACTCCAATCAACTCAGCATGTGGAACAAGATCCGGATTTTCAACACCAATGTTGAGTCAGTGTTTCTGTATGGTTGAGAGACTTGGCGCGTTACGAAAGGGATTTCCAACAAACTACAGACATTCATCAACAACTGCCTACACTGGCTCGTTACTGAAGCTCCGATGGCCGGAATAATAAGAATAAGCAACAAGGAACTCACTCCTGTTGGCAACGAACCAACCAAGAAGCTATCGCTGAACAGATATGCACTGGAAGGAAGTGGAGATGGATTCGGTATACACTGAGAAGACCGACTGGGGACATCATGCGCCACGCCAGACACTAGAGTGGAACGCAGTTTAAAATATTTCAGAGAAGACAGCGCACTGGAGACGTGCTGCTGAAGCCCTTTGTTCTACTAGGCACCCAAGAGAGAAATTATAATAATAATGGTTATCTATCAAACATTTTTTTTTCTCGACCGATAGCTGCTACCTTGACGTGGTGGTCGGGCTTGCATATCACAATGACCCAACGAGCTATGCTGGTGGAACGCTTGTTCCCTCGAGGTCCTACCATACCAGAAAGGTCTGTTGGGTAGTGGTTAGACGAAAAGCAGTTACCGTTATAGTGTAAATTGCTACACTATGATGGGGGTCTGAGGGCGAAGTCGTACTGCTGCTAGCTGGATGGGGTGTGACAGCAGTAAGGTGTTTCCCTTGGATGACCAGCAGTGCCAAGCTGATGCTGCCTTCTCAGTGGAAGGGGGGGTTAGAAAAGGTCGGCCCCAAAAATAACACACTCCACCACGCCCCACGGTCTGCCGGGCCGGCGGTGTTGGTTCACTTGTCGTTTCCTTTCGACCATCCGGCCCCAAAAATACAAAAATTCAAAATAATCATACTCAAAAGGCTG